TATTAAACATTGAAAGTTGATACTAGTTGATAACATCAGAAAGTTAAAGAAGCATTGCAAAAATAGCAAGTTGGCATAGTAATTTAATGGTACGCATAAAACCAAATGCAAATATTCAAACTTTCTAGGCTTCGACAATTTGGTCTCAGAATCAAACATAAGAATGACTAAATAGTAAAACTGATGAAGTAAGAAAAGAATTAATTGATTGTTCAAAAACCAATGATAAAAAACAAATATGGTTAAAGAAAAGCAGTTCTCAAAAAGGATAAAGCTATGTGTTTTAAGCAAAGTATAAAGGAAAAAATAGAGAAAAAATTTAACTATACCATAAAAAAATAAAGCTTTTAATAACTTAATAAGTTTAATTATAAAAGCATGGATTTCATTGGAAAAAGCTGTAGAAAAGTTTGTAATATAGAAGAATCTTAAAAATTAAAAGTGCTTCTTGCTCAACTTAATTTTTATTTTGTCATCTCCGGTATGGAATATGATAAAAAAGTTAAAAGAACCAAAAGAAGAAATTCAACTTCTTACTACTCTTATTACTGTCTTTTGAGCAAATTTAATACCAAACAATCTTTAAGTAGTTTGAGTAATAATTTTAAACCTATTTACATTACATTACATTACTATTTACTATTTACATTACAACCCTGATGTGGCTGTTAAAAACAAAACAAAAAAAGAATTGATGGTAAAAATTCAGGATACAAGACTAAACAAATTAATAAAGCGACAAAAAAAAACATTCCTTATCAAAAATCCATTTTAATAATCCATCTGATTTTGTAGGTATTCTTTTCAACATTGTGTTAGCAAAAAAAATTCTCTTAAAGTATCTTTGGAATGTGCACAAGTAGTACATACTGATCAAATAAGTGGAAATGAACAACATTCTATGTTAAGTATGATAATGAACCTGATGAACTATGATCATTTCTTTTATTAATTGGTTTTGAAAAAAGTAATCATATTCTTTGTAGCGAGGATCATGAGGGTTTTTTTATTATATATAATTTTATGTTATAATTTAAACTTAAATTATTTCCTTTATTAGTAAAATCAATTAAAATATGTTTTAATAATCTGTTTTTACTGCATTTGAGTGATTTTTATCTTTTTCGATGCTATTAATTATATTTTATGTGTTTACATGTACCCATTTTGTTTAATTCAAGGGTATTTTTATATTATTTATCATCTTTATGGGTTATGCTAAACTACATGTTATTATAGATATAAGAAAAAGTTAAAATATATAAAGAAAAGAATCCAGAAACGGAGGGCTATCCCTAGGCTAAGTTACAATTACTTTTCATTAACTGCCTATAAAGTAAAGTAAAGAATCCAGAGATGGGTTAACCTTAGGCAACATGACAGCTTACAGATGGAGTGCAAAGTCCTATGGCTTACCTTCTCGTTGGTGCACTTCGTTAAGTAAGTTAGATAAGTGTTAACATCTAACTTATGAACGAAATAGCCAAGGCAAACTATGTTTAAAAATTTTTGAAGACAAGAAAATGTAGAAATAAGTGCTGTATATCATTAAGAATTACATTTGTGTGTGTGTATATATATATATATATATATATATATATATATATATATATATATATATATATATATATATATATATATATATATATATATATATATATATATATATGAAAACTTTTTATTGGCGACAACTTATTTTTTATGTTAAAATAAATTTTAGATAATATGTTATCTATAGGTATTGTTACTAACTTATTTTACTGTTAATTGATCAGTTAATGGTCCGTGTTCGCAAAACACCGAAAAATATTATATTAATAAATTGTTAAAATAATATTGATTCATAATCTTATTTCTGAACGAATTTTAGAAAAAAATTGTTATTGCAGATAAATTTTACGCGCAAAAAAAAAAAAAAAAAGTTTTTAACTTTCGGTGCCAAAAAATTAACGCGATACTTTATGAAAATATTTCTTCTAAAGTCCGAGTATTGAAAATATTAAAACATCCATATCTTTGGAACTAAATAAGCTAAAGATGTGGTTGAAACCATTTTGGAAATGAAATATCTTAAGGAATGCAATATATTTAACATAAACAAAATTATTAAAAGTATTTAATACTTTATGTTTCGTATATATGTGCATAAATAACTTATCCCTAGCCGTCTTCAAATATCTTTTCTTTCTTAAACCAGTCAGTACATATATTTTGAGAAATACTAACTTTTTAAATGAACCTTTCTGTCAAACAAACTTTAATCAATTTTGTATTACCTATCAAGCGCCACACCTTTAGAATAAAAATGTTTTGGCGAATTTTAATTTTGAAGTATCTATTACTTTTTGCCTTTTTAAAAAAAAACTGAAAAAACTCTTTCTTTCATTAGAAATTAAATTGAGTTATTAAAAAGTAGTAAAAGTTAAAAATATATTTTAGTCTACTTTTTTTTTTTATTATTGTTTGTTAAATGCTTTTTTAAGGTTCTGACGACAAGATCCTTGCGATCTTCTTTCAGATACCTTGTTTATGTTTGTTATGTTTACATTATTATTTTTGTTATGGGTTATTTAAAGCTTTACAACGATTAACAAATGTAAACCGAAAAAAAAAAAATTAAAAGTACTAAATTTTTGACCGGATTTCTTTAAAAAACACCCGGTTTTAAAAACATTTTAAAAACTGCCGTTTGTTTTTTATATTAAGATGGCATATCTTTCGGAGGGGCTTTTTATCTTTAATTACTTATTTTAACATTAACAAATTATTAATAAATAATAACATTATATTAAACGAGATTATAGTTGTTAGGAGGGTTAAGGCAGGGGTGGAGGATATGCCCTCCCCCCACAAATTTTTTTCATATTTATTTAACGTTAAAGAACGGAGTCGCGATCTCTGAATTAAGAGTTTGTTTTTGCTTTGTTTAAGTTAAAAAATGACATCTACATAACAGAATGTAAAAAATATTGTTAAAATTATTAACTTATTACATTATATTATTTAAAACAAAATGGGAAAAGATATCAGATCAAAATATAAGTTTTTTTTTATAAATGAAGTCTCTAATATAGAAAATATTCTGTCAACTGGTTTATAGAGAACGAGTTCTTCAATATTTACTTTGTATACAATTTAAAAATAAAAAATAAAATTTGCAGTATAGACTCAGTGATAAAGTTACAGCAGAATAACGTCAACTCGGATCCTGAATAAGTCGAAATTTTACTAAGCCGAACAAATTTTCCATTGAACTCCCCTTGAACTTTCTATACATAGAAAGAGCTTTGCTTAAGTAGGACATTCGTTAAATCAGACTATTTATCAAATCCCCTTGAGAATCCGACTTAACGGAACTCTATTGTAAATGCAAATTTCTCCCATAGCAGTTTTAAATTTATAACTTAAAGGGTGTTATTTTTTTAATCGCATTGTTTCTTCACTAATGAATATCTGGAAAAGAAGTTTCCGAATATAGCTGGGCATTATACTAGATAAATTATACTGCGTATAATTCAAGGAGCTTTAACAATAGCTTATTAAATCTCTTTGGTATAATCACTTACATAAATTTCTTTAAACAAGTGCATATAATAAGAATTGCATTACTTTATTCTAAGACTTTTGTTGAGATGTGCCATGATGTTTTTTATTTATAGATGATGCCATCAAAACATGAATTACATGACACACCACCCAATTACATGCAGTTTAATTAATATATTGATCCGCTACTACTAAGATTGAACTTCTTTTTCTTAGTTTTTAGATAGAAATAACACCGATGTGTTTAAGAAAGTTACGCCCTGCAAGGTTACATTTACAATGGGTAAATTTGCATGTTACTGTATACAGTGGCAAATTACTGATTTTCGGAAGAAATATTATATTCAACTGTTATGTTTTTGCCTAAAACTAAATAAAAGCGAGCCGCTAAATCATTTTTTTGATTTTATGTAAAATTAAACTTTATCTTTTATTTTGAAAATTTAGAAAAGACGAATGGGAGGGGGGGGACAAGTTCTTCTTCTCTCCCCTAACCTCTGACCCCCCTCTCCCAACCCTTTCCTCATTACTAAGATCTTTTATGCTATATTTTTTTTTTGTATGAAAAATCTAGTTACAAATAAATAGTTTTCCTAAAGGTTAGCAATCTTAATCAAATAAACAAGCCGGGTCGGTTAGTTTGCCGCGGCAAATCGGAAAATGTTATAGAAACGAGCTTTTTTTTTAAAGAAAACAGGTCAAAATTCAGTGTCCAAAATGCTTGAGCGGGGTCTAAAACTTATTGAGTTAAGATGAGAAAATGATCATTAAGATCTGCAAAATTAAATAAAAATCAGTGTCTTTTAATTTTAATATTTTAAGGGTGTTTAAATTATCATAATATGAATTTTTGTGGTGAAAAATTGATCTTTTAGCCCGTTGAGCGGGGTCTAAAATTTGTGCAAGTTTAGTTTTTATGGATCATAGAGTACACTCACAGCATATAGAAAAAAATGTCTTTTGATTTTCAAAAATGAGGGGCGTTTAGCCTACCCTAATATATATATATATATATATATATATATATATATATATATATATATATATATATATATATATATATATATTTTAAATTTAACATCACGCGTCAACTCGAACTGTCAGTTTTTCGTTCCATGAAAACTTTTAAACAGTAAAGCCAAGTATATTCTGAGAGGGCATAATCAAAAACTAGAACGCCAGCTAGAGTTGTTGTCCCATGGAATGCGCTTTCCCAAGCAGTAGTGAACGTTACATCAATCCATGCTTTCAAAAACAGTATAACAAAGTAACTTTTAGAGACACAATTGCTGCTTTGTCTGTAGCTTATGCAGGGCCGTATCTAGCATACAAAGACTGGGGGGGTGCAGTCGTCAAATTAACCGACAAAAATTTTTCTTGTTTCAAAAAAAGGTTTTTTTTCGGAAAAATTTTCAAAATCATAATTGCATTCTTAATTTACTACCTGTAACACGTTAAAAGAAATAAAATATATTTTTTCTGAAAGATTATATAAACTTTACAATGCAAATGAAATTTACAGTATTTCAAAAGTATATACAAACAACAACAAAGTTAACGTATAAAACGCAAAACTGCATAATCAATTATTCAATTTGAATACGTCTTTGTGTTGTTATAGACCATTTTTTTACCAACACGTCAAGATCTATATTGTCCACTAAATCTTTTTCTGACGCCAATCTTGCATCTGACATAGTAGAACGCAAAATATTTTTAACAATTTTTAATTTGCTAAATGTTCTTTCATCGCTTGCAACGGACACTGGTGCTGAAGCCATTAGCTTGAAAGCTTTGAAAACTCCTGGGAATATGCTTTGTCTTTGCCACGACAGTTTTAACTTTTCATTGTTTGTTGGAGCATCAGATTTAGTAAATGTGTTCATAAATATTTCTAACTCTGCATGAAATAAATGAGCATCTGTATTTACTCCATTATTTGGCATTAATAGGCACAGTTTTTCGACATCTTTTATTGTAAAGGTTTTTGTTGACTGCTGAAGAAGAGAAAATGGTTCAATGCTCAACCATGAAGCCAGTAAATTTTCATTCATTTCGTAAATAAGACAGTCTAACACGCAATTAAGTTGTTGGGTGTAGTATTGATAGATATTTCTAGAACATAGCGTATCAGGATTGTCATCATAGCGTTTTGGAGTTACTCTTCGTCTATGACGATCTTCGTATATTTTTAACGCATCGATTTCATACTTGCTACATATTTTAATTGCTGCATCAATTTCACAATGTACTTCAAATTCTTCTTTTCTATTTCGTTCAAGAAATTGTATTGTAGACAATACAATCATTTTAGCATCTAAAATGTTCAACTCAACTTTCTGCAACTCATCAGTAAGAATCTTTGTTTTTGCAATGACTCCTTTGATAAGCATAAGCATAATGATAAAGTCTGGATTCACGATTTTTTTAAGTATTGCTAAAGCTTGATCCTTTGTTTTCTTATCAAATAAATCGGACTGACTTATTTCATAAAAACATTCAACAATAGATTCCATACTTATCCAAAATGCTTGAATGGATTCTGAACGCGCTGACCATCTAGTTTTTGAAAGATTGCGAAGTTTCAAGGAATTTTCAATAAACTCAAGTTTAGAATTAAATAAGCTGAATCGTTTAGTACTTGAAGAAATAAATACGTAGCACATTTCAAGAACTTCAAAGACATTTGAAGCCATTTTATTTCTTTTAACCGCATGTTCAACAAAAGTATTAGTTCGATGAGCTTGACATGGAATATAAGGTAAAACTCGTTTTAACTTTTCTGAAATTTTTGCATGAACTCCTTTAATGTTGCTGGACATAGAGCTGGCGTAATCATATCCTTGAAGCACAACACTATTGACATCAAGTTGAAGGTTATTGATTGTCGATATTATTAAATCTGCAATTCCATCACCCGTTTTGTTAGCTACCTCGCATATCTGCACAATTCTTTCTTTAATATTACATTTATTATTCACATACCTTACAGCAATTGCTAACTTATCACTGTGTGACACATCAGGAGTTGTATCTGCCATAATTAAAAACATCGATGCTTGGTTAACTTCGGAAACAATTTTGCTTTGAACATCTTGTCCAAGCAAATGAATGAAGTCGTTTTGGGATTTAGCACTCATATATGTCACATGATATTTTCTAAGTTTTATGTTGCTCAACCATCGTTTAAGTACCAAATTATGTCTCGACATAAAACATACCAACTGTCTAAAATTTCCATTTTCATCCCGATCATCTCCACGAAACGCGATTCCTTGCTTACCCAATGTTCGAGCCAAATCAATAAGAACTTTTATAACACACTTATTAGACTCCATTTCTTCTTTTTCACTAATAACAATTTGTCTTTGTTTCTTGTCCAAGAGGAGATTAATATGTTGAGCACTATTACAATAATTGCAATAGTCTAATAATGAAGCTTTATGAGATTTTGATGAAAAATGTTCTGATAGTTTTCCTCTTTTACCTTTCTTTCCTCGACTCTTCATTTTATGCCACGTGCGGATACCGTTTTCAACCCAAGCAACTTCACTATTCTCTCTACCTGGTCCATTTGGAAAGAGACAGCATACATAGCAGAATGCGCTATCTTTAAGTATGCTGTACTCTAAGTGAGGGTATTCTTTGTACCACAATGATGAAAAAAGATTTTGCTTCCTTTTGTCAATATCTTTATTGATAGGAAAGTTATTAAGTTTTACTTGATGTGGTCCAAGCTCAATTAGATAGTTTCTTAGATTATCGTTTTCAATTTTCGAACGCTGGCCAGGATCATGCGAAAGAAAGAAATTTTTTGTAGTAAGTGTTTCAATATTATCATAATTTCTTTTGTTTAAAATGTTTGCAAGAGCTTGGTCATTGGCATCCAAAACATTCTCTGCTGAAATTTTTACCTCAGAAGCAAGCTCTGTCATTTCAATGAGAAGTTTTTCCAAATGTAAATTGTCTGTATTTTTCACTTCATCTAGTTTTAATTCGCACTCACTTAAAATTTTACACAGCTTTGCAAATTTACCCACCGAATCTGAAACGTAGTTTCTTTTTCCAATAAATTAACATCACTCGGTTGGGATTCTACTAACAGAGTTTGATCACAGAAATCCAAAATTTCAGGCACTGCTAGTATTTCATCATTAGTAATATCAATGTTTTTCCTCTCATTTATTATCTCACATTCAATTTCAGATGATTCATTTTCAATTGCTTCAGAGATTTTTGTCAGATTTTCATTGATATTCATTTCCACTTCATTTGTAATGTTGCTTGGGCAAAGTTTTTGGGCATTGAAATTAATTTTAGACAAACTTATTTTGCTGCACGATTGGGAATTTATTGCCAAATTGGTTTCAAAAGGGTTTCGTGGTGCGCCATACTTCTCATAAGGTATTCCTTTATGGTTTCGGGTATAATCCAAATGATAAATTCGATTATGTGTCATCCGATAGTCATTATCAAAAATTGAATGTGAACAGTTCTTGACTTTGCATTTGACTTTGTATCTTTTCACACCAGGATGTGGCATCTTGAACCCAAAATCTAAGATAATTACAAATTAAACTAACAAAATATTCGCCTTAAAAAAATATATAAATGATTTAATAAATTTTAAACTTTTTAAAATTTTATTAGTAAATACGTAACTTACAAGTATAAACAAAATAGTTTATTACTTCTTTCGCCAAACTTCCAATACTAGTACCAAATTTCTAATAATAAAAACACACCGCTAACTAAACTTTGATTTCTTCTGTGCAAACATCAAGTAAACAAGTCTCTTGATTAAGATTCTTGCTTTAAAGTAATTAGAAATTGTTGACTAATTACGTAACGCAACTTTTGAGAATAAAAAACGGCAACCAAAAACATGCTTAGCTGAGTTTTATTTGTTATACGCGTTAAATTCCTAAAAAGAATTAGTTTTTTATGCTTTGAAAATTAGCGTTAAGGATGATATAAAAACATTTTTGCAATACAGAAACAACAAGAAAATAATAATTTTAATATTTTGTCGGTTAAATAGTATAATGGTAAAGTTGTCGGTAAGATTACAATTTATTGTAATCTTACCGACAATTTACCATTGTACTGTTTAACCGACAAAATATTAAAAATCTGGGGGGGTGGACACCCCCCCACACCCCCCTATCGGTACGGCCCTGAGCTTATGTGTATTTTATTTTCGTCAGCATAGAGGAGCCTGGTTTAGCACCCCTTCATCAAACTTTAAGCAGATTTATTGTATCTGTTTTTTTTTTGATCACTGAACAATAATAATAAAAAAATTACATACATATAAATTATATATATATATATATATATATATATATATATATATATATATATATATATATATATATATATATATATATATATATATATATATATATATATATATATATATACCGCTGGAATCAAAACGCTTTAAATGAATTCATTTTTATTGATTTTTTGTAAATGTTTATTAGCTTTTGGATTGGATCTGTTCCGATAAATAATTATATAAACCGTTGCATAGAATAGTTAAAAATAATATACTTCAGTATAATTATCGATGTGTTTGATGACGTCATAGTGTGTTGGTGATGTTAATATAAATCGAATAGATTAAAAAAAATAATAATTGAATTGAACATTTCTTGCATTAAAATTGTAGAAAATAAAATCAGAGTGGGGTTCTTGAATTCTTGTTGATAATTAGCTCTTGTTCTAATATAGTTTTTTTTTTTTAAGTATATATTGTGTTTGCATCTTTATCATACAAGCGATCATAGGTGGTATCACCGAATCCCAATCCAGCCCAACGATTGCCAAGCAGTTATAGTTGGGTGTTCCTACGCCAGAGGTTATGATGCACTATTCTTTATTTATTTTTTTTATTTTTTTTTAATATACATAGACTGCAAGCACACACACACCCATACTAACAGCACATATACACCCATACACCCATATATATACCAATATACATACATAAATACATACATACACAGATACACATACGCATTTATACATAATTTATTGATTTTATTTTATTTAATTTTTTTTTTTAATTTCTTTTTTCTTTTTTTTTTTTTTTTTTTTTTTTTTTTTTCTTTTTAATTTTTACAAAACCGTGTTATAAAAACCGTAATAAAACTTTTTTGTTTTTTGTTTTTTCAAATACTAAATAAAAGATAAAATAAACCTGAAAATTTATACATACTAGCAATATATAATATAAAGCAATATATAATACGAACTCAAATAATAAATATTTATACATCTATTCACAGCTATCAGTTTCAGTACAATCTCAATGTAACTATATAAATAGGTAAACTTAGTTTTAATAATAGGTAGACAAACCCATAACACTAGTAATATAGAAAAACGTTCTCCATAGAAAGAATTAGATTTTTAAGTTTAGTTTTGAAAATAGAAAAAGAGGAAGGTAGATCAAAATTTTGCAAAATAACTTTATTCCAAAGATTAGGTGCACGATAATCAATACAAAGCTGATTAAACTTGGTTCGACATAAAACTTGATTTAGCAAATTATTATTTCTCAGTGCATACTTATTGTCTGGTTTCAAAGTAAAAATATTTTTAAAAACGTCAGGAGATAAGTTATTTTTCCACATATATACAAAACATAGAGTATTATATAAATTCACTTCGTAAATATTAAGTATTCTCATTTCGTTAAATAAAGGTTTCGAATGAGTAAAGCGATCGGAAAAATTAATAGTACGAATTGCGTGTTTCTGACGTGAAAAAAGACGTTTCAACTTATTCTTTCCAGCACTTCCCCAAGCAATATTTGCATAATTTATATAATTATGGATGAACGAATGATAGAGTTGGGTCAAACTATTTTTATTTAGATAATCTCTAGATTTATATAAAATTCCAATATTTTTAGAAATCTTGGTACATACGTGATCAATATGCTGTTTCCATGTAATGTGCTCATCAAGATAGACTCCTAAAAACTTTATGACAGAGTCCCTCTTAATCTCAATTTGGTTAATAAATATTTTAGGCAGATTTAAGGGTAGGTAACGTTTTTTTGAAGCGGGTGGAAAATAATCCATTTTGTTTTATTAGGATTAAGAGTTAATTTGTTACACTTGAACCAGCTAGATACTTTTTTAAGTTCGTCATTTATATTACAAAACAGTTTGGAGATGTCAGTATCAGAAAGAAATAGGTTAGTATCATCAGCGAACATAATGCTAAGTAGATTTGAAGCTTTATTTAAGTCATTAATGTAAATCAAGAATAAGAGGGGTCCCAATATAGAGCCTTGAGGAACACCGCAAGATATATCTAATAAATTTTTTTGGCAATCATCCTTACAAGATACAAATTGTTTACGATTTGATAGGTAGCTTTCAAACCATCTTAAAGTTTTTTTGTTTATACCATAATATTTAAGCTTATGCAGTAATATAGTGTGATCTACTGTATCAAAAGCCTTAGATAGGTCAATGAAGATACCTAGTGTGTATTGGGAATTTTCGAAGGATTTTGAAATTTCGCGTACAAATTGAATGATTGCATGTTCCGTGGAGTTGTGCTTTTTAAAGCCAAATTGATTGCTATATAGTAGGTTATTGCATTGAAAATAATCATAGACTTTATTATACATAATTCTTTCTAATATTTTTGAAAATATAGGTAAGATAGAAATGGGTCGGTAGTTGCTAATAATAGCCCTATCACCTTCTTTAAAAATTGGGGTAATTTTTGCAATTTTTAGTTGTTCAGGAAAAATTCCTTGATTAATTGATGCGCTAAAAACTTTAAAGAGAATATTTTTTAATTGTTCGAAACAGTTTAGAATTATATTACAATTAATGTCATCTGCTCCAGTAGCTTTATTTTTTTTCAGAGTTTTAAATGCTATTTCAAATTCTTCAAATGATAATTTAGAAGACAACTCTCCAGACGTAATGCAATCAGTCATCGGTACAAGAAAATCACTAAATATAGCCTGCGTCTTTGGAATCTTATTGGCCAGTTCAGGACCAATTTTAACAAAAAAATTATTAAACTCGCAAGCTATTTCTTTTTGTTCATAGATGATTCTGTTATCAACCTTGATGACCTGGGGAAGGAAACCTGAGCAGTCTTTTTGTTTTCCGCTTATTTCTTTTATTATTTCCCATGTACGTTTGGAGTTATTTTTATACTTATCGATTAAGCTAGAGTAGTAATTTTTTTTCAAATTTTTTCGAGTTTTTTCAAACTGATATTTATAATCTTTGTATATTTTTTCATTTTCTGGGGACTTTGTTTTTAAATACTTTATATACAGTTTCTGCTTGATCTTCGATGATTTTTTAAAATCTTTGGTAATCCAGGGATTGAATGTTTTTTTTGGATTTATTGTCTTTTCTATGAATGGAAAATTTGCATCGTAGATAGGATATAATGTGTTGAAAAAATTATCATATATAGAGTTTGCGTCATCGTTAAAGTTTATATGTTTCCAATGGAGCAATGATAGTTGCTCTTTAAAATGATTAATATTGTCTTTGTTAATATGACGCAGTCTAATTTTTTTGCTTGTCTTAATCATAGTTTCGGAATTACAGTTAAATGTTAAAAATATAGGGAAGTGATCGGAAATATCAGTTTTTAAGATACCTTTTTGTATGTTTTTATTAAGGATATCGGTTGTAATAATATTATCGATAAGAGTAGTTGTGTTTATTGATACTCTTGTCGGTCGATTAATTAAAGGAACTGCTCCTAATTCAAATATTGCGTCATAAAACTTTTTAACTTTAGAATCCTCATAATAAGAAAAAGTATTCATATTGAAGTCTCCAATAACAAAAACTTTTTTTTTTTCTTTTGTGCTTTTTTTAAATATGTTTTGTTCAAAAAAAATGCTCAAATTTTTGCTCAGACCATCAGGTGGTCGATAACAGCAGCTTAATAGAATGTTTTTTGTTTGATTGTTTACAATTTCAATCGTTAAAATTTCTTTATTCTTGTCAGAAACACTCAAATCATTCCTAACGTAATGCATTATGTTCTTTTTCACGTAAATAAAAATTCCACCGCCGCGTTTATTTGTTTGCCTATCTTGAGATATTAATTTAAAATAAGGAAGGTTAAAATTTGAACTATTTTTTAGGTCATTTATAGTTATCCATGTTTCTGTTAAGCAAAGTATATCAAAAATATTTTTAGTTTCTTCTAATAAATTAAGTAGATTTTCAAAATTGCGATTTAAGCTTCTAATATTTACGTGAAGAATTTTAATTTTATCGCTTGCTTTTACATTATCCTTCAAAAGAAACTCTGCTAATTCACTTGGATAATAATATGAACAATCACTGAGCAAATCACAATAATAGTTAGTGTCGGGATCTGAGAATTCATTTGAGATGCAATCTATTTTAGAAAAATTAAAGATTTGGTTTTCAAAATTATTAACGCCGCTCATTTTTAACAAGTGTATCTATAGAAGGGTTTCTTTTGATAAAAACTTATTTGTTGAGTTCTCTGCAATAGATCTTATCGAACTTTAAAATAGCATACTTACCTTCTTTACGTAAGTTTAATACTTCACCCCAGAGTCTTTTTCGCGTTTCGATTGTTTCTTTAGCAAAATCTTCGTTGATAAAAATACCAGTTCCACGTAAATTTTTACTATTAAAGAGAATTCTTTTTTTATCGTTGTAATTTAACAGTTTTATGAAGATTGTTCGGTGTTTGCCTACTTTTTTTGGACCTGAACGATGAGCTCGTTCAATTATTATTTCGTTCGGGATTTTTAATTTTTTTGAAAAAATATCTTTCACAATTTTTTCACAGTCATTCCAGGTTTCACCAGGTAATTCATTTACACCTTCAATCCTCAGGTTGTTTCTTCGTGAACGATTTTCGAGATCAACCAGTTTCTCACTTATGTTTTTAATGGCATTTGTTTCTTTTATAGATTCAAAACGTTTCTGCTCATAAAGATGTTTAATTTCACTTTCTGTCCGTTTATTTATTTCTGCAATCTTTTGTTTAGTTAACTCTTCTTGGAAGTTAAGACTCTCTTTTATTTCTTCTACGTCCTTTTCGATATTAGAAGTTTTTATTTTGTTTGTAGATAGATCGAGTTCTAATTTATCCAACCTTTCAGTAAAAATCTTCATATTTGCGCTTGTTATTTTTGCGAAGTTTTTTTCTTGTTCTTTGAGAAGTCTTTCGGTCTCCATTAATATAATATTTTTCTGCTCTTCAAGCATTTTTTTAATAATTTCTTCAGTATTTTTACTTATATTCATAATTATTATCTGTAATTTTATAATAATAAGTTTTGAATTTTTATTTCTTCAAACAGTTGAAAAGAAAAACAAACACGTGCGTAATATTTGTATATATATATTTGTATAGATATCGATATATAGAATATATACAAATTGAAGTATTTTGATGTATCAATACGAAGACTCTTGCACGTGTTACAGTGCTCAACATTACTGAATAATAGAGCTATATAATCATATTATGCCTTCGGGCATGAAACTTTAAGTTCTAAACAAAATATAATTACATTATATATATATATATATATAAATATATATATATATATATATTTATATATATATATATATATATATATATATATATATATATATATATATATATATATATATATATATATATATATATGTATATATATATTATATATATATATATATATATATATATATATATATATATATATATATATATATATACCGTTTTTTGCAAAACTTTGTCAATTAATCAATTTCAACCATAACATTAAACTTTTTTTTTTTTTGTGCTGCAGTTTTCTTTTTTTATATCAATCAGATCTAAATTTATGAAAAAAATGGTATAACTATAAAAAAAAAAAAAAAAAATGGTATAACTATAAAGCGTCTGCATGACTTTCTGATATTTGAAACTCATTCATGCCTATGTAAAATGATATGCTGATACAAAAAGCTGAGATTGTTGGAGCCTGAAAAAAAAAAAAAAAAGTACACGCATAATTTTTTTAAAAATATAATTGATATAAAGTTTATAAAGTTCAAAAAAGCATCAATAATTGAAACGTCTTTTAAATAATTTCATGAGAATGTTATACATGTATTATAAATGCTTATATATTTATAAATGCTTTATATTGGCAGCATATTATGTTAATTAACTAAAACTTTCGTTCAATATAAATTACATATTGTGTTAAACAATTTAAATGTTTTTATGCTTGTGAAAACCATGACGATTTGTTAATAGGTAATATATTATGTATCCGCAACTAGTTATTATTAATACTATTTTTTGTTAATTTCTATGGCTTTTCCTTCAATGGCAACTAGCTTAAAGATTTTCAGTCATTTCTATTTTGTGATGTATAATTATTTACAGTTACATCTTTTACGATTTTATTAGAAGCTGAAATACTTTTTCAGACTTAAAAAGGCGCGTTAGTTGTACAACTAACTAATTATACAATTGTATAGTGGAACAAAGCGTTGGTTTGGCAGCGGAAAAACAAACTTCGCGTTTGTTAAATACTTCGCATTTGATTGCTCGTAAACGTAAGTATAACAATTGTTTTGATAAAAACATATTTAGACTGGAAAATCAATTTAAACGCTACCATTAAACGTTTCGTATTCTTTTATGTCTTTCGTCTCACCTATAAGATCTAAGTTACTAAAAGTGGTATAAATAATGTTTGAGACTCTTTGAGGCATTGCAAACAAGTGTTCAGGCTTATGCTAAAAGATATGATTTACAAAAAGTTAAAACTCTTGGAGTCTGAAAACAAAAGTAGTTCGTATTCTAAACTTCATCGAGAGGTTTTATTTTATTCAAAAATTTTTAATTTTAGAAAGTAATGTTCATCTAAAATTTACTACCCCTTATTAAGTGGTTGAATTTGATGTTCTTTTATATTGTTATGTATTTACTATTATTATTTATTTATTATTTGTTAGTTATTTAGTTATTATTTATTAGGTTGCTTAAAAAGCACCGCAAAGATTGTTGTAAAAGTTCCCGAAATTAATGGAATTCCTTAAATATCGTCGGAAATCATTATGCATTTTGTCCGACTAAAAAAAGTGGGTTGAATAAAGAAATCTAACGAAAACAATTTCATTTAGTTTTTATTTTATGTAACAATGACGACGACATGCATGTGCGGCGAATATAAAATGTTAAGCATTGATACTATGGTTTTATCATCAACAATAAACAAATTTCTTAAATAATCCGAACTAGCTAAGCAATCTTATTTTATGTATTTTTGTTCTTGGAGTACAAAAATGTATTTAAAATATGTATTATTATAATTTAATTTATACAGTATTTTTTATTTGCTGTTTTTATTTTTATTAACAATTAATAATTATCAGTATAAATATCAACAACAATATAATTGAATTCTATATAATAAGTGTTAACTTATTATATTGATCAATATTTATATCATAATAAAATAATTATCACTAGATAAATCAGCAATAAAAAATGTAAAAAGAAAGCCATAAAAAGCTTTTGATATAATTACATATTTTGTAATTATATATTTTGATATATAAAGTATTTTCAATTCATTTATAAATCAGACAAGTAAAACCAGGTCATGAATAAAAGAAAAATTACGGATATATTTTTTATTAAAATTTTTTTTATCAAATTTAATGTATTTTAAAGAGATAAGATCAATCTATTATTAATTATTTTATAATTATATTGGTACATTTATAAATTGGCTTTTAGACATGTTTTAAAGCATTACAGTAAAATTAAATTGCAGCGTTTATATTTCTAAGCACACATATAAATAAAAATCTAAATGTACAATTGGATTTTTATTTCTAAGCAAACATATAAATAAAAATCCAAATGTACATTTGGGTTTTTATTTATATGTGTGCTTAGAAATAAAAACGCTGCAGTTTAATTTTATTAATCGCTATTATATCTGTAATGCATTTTTTAAAATGTCTTTTTGTAAAAATTATTTAGCAATTCATTTTTATAGTGATATTTTAATGTATTTTGTAATATTTTAATTTGTTTACAATACTATGATGTTTAAACTTATTTTAATTGCATGATTTTTTAGATTGCAAACAAAAATTCTCATAATTTATTTATGTTTCTGTAAATAGGAAATTGATTGCATGGAAACTATAGCAACATGAAAACATAGTTTTGATGTTATTCAGCTTGAGCCTATTTAAATTTCAAAAATTTAAATAATCAAAATTTAGAAGTAGTTTTCTTTAGAATGACTATACTTAAAGTTTTCCAAAATTTTATGTTCTAAAATATAAAATTTTCAAGGTGTTAGCCAGCCCAATGGCACTGCTTATAATGCGGAATACCCAATGAATTTAAAATTCCCAAAATACAATAACCTTTATTATTATTATTTTTTTAAAGGAATAGAACAATTTTAATTAAAAAATCCCAAGACTATGTAAAACAATAACAATAAATATTCCCAATATTGCAAAAACGCAGTAAAAAATATATTCCTGGCTAACACCCTGATTTTATTGTTCTAAAATGTGACATATTAAATAGTACTACATTAAAAAAAAAAATTCTGTACCACTAACACTAAATGTATACAACTAACTATATATAGTATATAACTATATCTAGTTTATAGTTATATAGTTAGATATATAGTGCTATATCTATATATTGCATATACATTGTTTATTTTTGAAATATATATATATATATATATATATATATATATATATATATATATATATATATATATATATATATGTATATATATATATATATATATATATATATATATATATATATATATATATATATATATATATATATATATATATATAGATTTATATATAGAGACAGATTTAGATTTAGGTATAGATATATTTTCATCAAATTCAATATGGGAAATGAAGATGATGAAGTT